CTTGGAACAATTAATACACGTACAGATAAATGGCCTCAAAATAATAATGGCGGCGCGAGCCGTGTTTTAATGGACTCCAGTCCTGAGCCACCTGAGTTACCACTCACGCGGCCTAACATTAGTATAAAGTTTGTCAAGTCGTTCATAGTTGTTCTATTTCGTGAGCTGTTTAGTGGTAAAAGTACAAATGAGTTAAAATTTGGAAAGGTACTACATAAAGAGTCTTACTAGAATAGTCGGGAGCAGGTACACAAATATACCCGTCGCAAAAACTGCGGGAAAATAAACCACTGTTGCTAAAGTGCAACGTTTAGTAAAGGTGGTAGTCGTAGAGAATTAACCACTCTTATACTTTTTGCTATATCTCGAAAAAGACGATGTCTACTTAGGTCCACTTTCTCCTCGTCAAACGCTAGATATATATATCTATTCTATTTGAGATCCTCTAACATCCGTTATCTACCCGCTTGTTCAATTATAGGAGGAAATAGGAGGAAAAGGGAGAAACGTGAGTAAGTACAGGTCGGTGGGACACCCCTACATTTACCACAAGTCAACAAGTCAACACACACTCGACTCAGACAGACAGGATTACCGTTTAGTTTGAATAGTCTGACCCGTAGTCGGATTATCAAAACACGAGTTACGAGGTAAGTGTAAGAGGAACGATAACAGAATAAGCTGTTCGACCTTGCCAGTAGTAACAGAAACAACACAAGTCGTTCGTTTGGTGCTATAGAAAGCAAAAAAACTAACCCGCAATCCACCCCTAAGTTCCAATTTCATCGACAAAAGAAGACCTAAAAAAACCGGTCAACCAAGGCAATAAAATGTCTAAATAACGGTGGTAAGCGCATTAGTTCGTCAACGACGACCTTATCAGATTTTGAGACTATCAGTGGGCTCCATTCGTACACTCGTCGTCGTGCATGCGAAACAGGACGTTCCAACAAAAAAAAATCGTTGAGCCAACGTGCCCGTTCGCACTTGTACACTGCTCAAATGGTAGCGACCCTCTAGCTTCTAAGTCGGCTAACGGAGCAGGGAAGTTCTGCGACTCGTCCATTGTCGCCATAAGTCATGTACCGCGTTTATGGCGCCTTACGTACCTTTCACGATGGGTGGCATGCCAGCCGAACAATAACAGTTATAATTATATTAATTCCTAATAACAAAATTATCAGTGTGAGCTAAAGCGGTTTTTTTTTAACGGGGTCGACCAGCTGTGAAGAAAATCGGCTTCGTTTCGCGATGTAATTACATGAATTTACTACAATTAGGTACCACAGCCTACACCTTAACTTCGCCTCGCACGTAACGCAACGGTCCGTTCCGTCGAAGCCGAAGTAGAATAAATGTTTCGAGAAGTTGATCTTGCGCATCAAATAAATTTTTGTAAATAGTTCCCTGGGTGCGTGTCATTATGAAAAAATTAAGTTTTAAATTTAAAATTTACAACTTCGCTTACACACATATGGCTTGTTATCCTGAGGCAGCGTAGTGTTTTTAGGGCCCTTTTTGTCCTCGCTGCTAGCATTCCGGTTCCAGGAGCCAATACCGATCCTTTCCCTAGGCACGACACATTTATACTGTAGTCGCAGAAGAGCAACACTGAGAGCAGACCTCACGAGCTTTTGTATGTCCGTCATTGTACCCGTGTGCGTTCCATTTACTGGCGGTGGGGGCGCTGCACAACTAAGTAGCCTACATTAAAGCAAACAGAAGAAGACAACATCAATGTATCAACAAACAGCCGTGGTCCGGACTTGTACCAGTAAGGGAAGTTGAAATAAATACTTTTCATTAAGTTATTTTCGTGTTTCATTAAGATCTGATACTGCTGTTCCCAAGCATGCTGTGCAACCAGTTAAGAAAATAAAGAAAAAAAGGGCATGAAAAAGATGTTTAAGATCTCAAGCTAAATCCAGTTGATTCCTCACTTTGGTTGTGTGCACCCAATGACAGTTGAACTATATCACTTCTGGAGAGGCTGCAAAACATATACAAATAAATAAAGTTCGTATAACTGAGAAAAGACACACTTGTAACGAGGAAAAGTCAGCTGAGCTCTCTCGCTCTATTCCAGTCACAACCTGCTTCATGTTCATCACAAACAAAGTGAGTGAATGAGCCACAGATGCTCACAATTCAAAACAAGGCTGATTTTGAGTCACATTTAGAGATTCCAGCTGTCAGCTGGACAGCCTGTCAGAGACCAATCTTACTGTCAACCTTCAACCATACATTATTATTTGACCCTATGCCCTGTTTGTGTGTGCAAGTAACCGTGTGTTGATATGCACAACCTTCCTGTCATTGTGTCTTCCTAGATCATACGTGAATGTCTGCAGCTGAACAAACAAAAAACTGAGATCTGTAATCGCAGAGCTTCAGTCGGCAGACTACAAAACAACTAGTAAAGCTAGAAATCTAGGTGTAGTGATGGACTCAGACCTGAATTTTAACAGTCACATTGCAACAGTCATTAAGTCTGCATACTATCACCTGAAGAACATGTCTAGCATTAAAAAACTAATGTCACAACAGGACTTAGAAAAACTTGTCCATGCTTTTATCTTTAGTAGACTTGACTACTGCAATAGTGTATTCACAGGGCTGAAAAAAAAATCCATCAGAAAGCTGCAGCTGATTCAGAACGCAGCTGCTCGTGTACTCACTAACATTAAAAGAGTGGATCACATCAGTCCGGTTCTGAAATCTTTACATTGGCTTCCAGTCGGCCAAATAATTGATTTTAAAGTACTATTGCTAGTTTTTTTTTCATTCCATGGTTTAGGACCAAAGTATATTGTTGATCTCCTACATAATTAGGAACCATCAAGGTGCCTCAGGTCTTCTGGGACGGGTCTGCTATCGGTTCCGAGAGTAAAAACAAAACATGGAGAGGTAGCGTTTAGCTATTATGCCCCGACAATCTGGAATAAACTACCCAAATCATGCACGTCTGCAGAAACTCTTACTATTTTTAAATCGAGACTGAAAACATATCTCTTTGCCGCTGCTCATATTCGCGCTACAGTATGCCTTTTAAACATGTATTGTAACACCTGTTGTGTTTATTTTATTATCTTTGCTTTTTAATGCCTGTTGTAAAATGCCATTATATAATGTACTTTTACTGTATTTATTCCTAAAAAGTCTCTTTAATTTGTTTTGTAAAGCACTTTGAATTGTCGCGTGCTGAAAAGTGCTATATAAATAACCTTGCCTTGCCTTACAAAGTAAATTTGATATGAGTGGCAGGGTGCAGGAACTCTGCATGATAATGAAACCTGCTGTACTCAAAGACAAAAACATATATTTGAATATATACATATACCTGTACTACGAATCCAGTTCAACATACCCCTGGATCTGTTTGGAAAACAAACGCGCTCTCGCAAAGCGGTCCTACGACGCTGGTTATCAACTCGGTGACTCAAGCCAGGGTTTCTCTGTCCGGCTGAGTGCGCGTTCACATGAAAGGGGCGGGGTTAGCAACATTTGACCAATCACAGAGAGGGACAAGCGTACTGACAGAGCAGCGTTATACTTCCTGAATGAAAAGTGAACTATGGAGAGGCGAAGTCCCTCCCTTTCCGGTGGACCTCCATGGGACCTTATTTCGGAAAAATTATGTATTGAAGTCAATGGAGAGAGAAAAAGTTATCTTTCGATCCCGTTTGAATTGTGCCACGAATTACACATATGATGTTTCAATCTAAACAAATAATTTCCNTAAAAGTACACCAGGAGACTATTCTCCGATTAGAACACTGAGCAAGTGCATTGAGCACATCAATGACTGGATGACTCAGTTTTTTGTTTGTTCAGTTGGAGAAATCCAACTGAACAAACAAAAAACTGAGTCATCCAGTCATTGATGTGCTCAATGCACTTGCTCAGTGTTCTAATCGGAGAATAGTCTCCTGGTGTACTTTTAAAATAAATCTGGGTGTCGTCTGCATAGATATGATAGCTTGTATCGTTTTTAATAATTTGAGCCAGTGGTAGCATATAGATATTAAAAAGCAAAGGTCCTAAGATGGAGCCTTGAGGAACCCCGCATGACATATTTGTCAATGTTGATGTGTAGTTGCCTATTGAGACAAAGTTTTTTCTGTCCTTTAAGTAGGAACTAAACCAATTTAGAGCTGTTGCTGAATGTCCCACCCAGTTTTCTAGACCAGTGGTTCTCAACTGGTGGGTCGCGGACCCGTTTCGAGTGGGTCGCAGATGTGTGAGTGAAGAAAGAAAAAATTCCTTTTTATGTTTTGGTGGAAAAAAGTCAAACTTTTATTTTTGAAGGCCCGATTTTCTAACGCTGTGACGGAGCTTACACACGGCGGCGTGCGTTGAAGGTTGCCGGCGGGCATGTCTGAAGCTAGACCAACAACCAATCACCTGAATCTCCCGCCCCGGACACACAAGCAGCGGTTTGATTGGCAAGAGCTTGTACTGGCATATGATTTGATTGGCTGACGCTTCTGTCGAAGCTTCAAAAGTAGAACGCTTTGCTCCCACAATGCAGTTTGGCGAAGCGTGACGTCACCCCATTCAAAGTGAATGGGCAGAGTCCAAGTCATCGTACGCGAGAATTCACGAGTCTGAGTCCAGTGCTGCGGGAGCATCAGCTGGATGGGCGGGATCATGGGTCGTGAAGCGGTTCTGAAGGCGAGGCGGTGAAGTAACCCCATTCAATAAGCTCCTGCGCACCACCTCAGACCACGACTGCTGATGGCCAGGTGTTGAGCAGTCTGTGGAAGGATCCCACAGAACTGTGTCATGTGTAGCTAGTAGAAAACAATATATAATATATTTTTAATAGATCCTTTCAAGAGACTGTATTATAATTGATAAACTCACTCTGTTTCTTTTATCGTGCAGAAACTAAATTGTACAATTTAGAGTTTTGTGGGAAGTGTACCGCAAGTTTCTCTGACTGGAGTGACATCACTTGAGGACATTTATCAAATTTAGGCCAATATAACTCCGTCGTACTCCAAAGGAACTGTAAACAAACATTGATGTGTTCATTCTGGTGGAGTTTAATTTAAACAAAGAGAATGATAGCAGTCTTCTAATTTCAGTGTTGAACTGCTTCTTTAGTCAGTATTAAAGCACGGCCTTGTGGAATGTTGAATCAATAATTTAATGCATTTATTTAGAGCAGGCTTGATGCTGGGTTATCAAAGACGATTTGTTGTTTTATAATATTATCCATTGCAAATATTAATAAATACAATATGGACCTCATAGCCATTTTTTAAGGATCCCTTACATTAAAATAATTTGAAAATGATACTGAGATATATATTTTACAATTGCAAACTCTCTGGCTGTACAGTTCTTAACCAGATGATTCCACCCTTAACCGCTGCATGTAACTGAAGTGCTCATTGACAAAATACCTCTGAGATATTACCTGAGAAAGAACGGTGCCAAAAGAAGACAAAGCACACCATGTCAGGGTTTCCATCAATAATAACACATTATTAACATACATTTAAAACATACAAATCAAAGGAAACAAGGCAGTGGGCCAACAGCAACACTGAAATGAACTGACGGAATGGAACCACGCCATGTGAAGACGTGCTATCTCATTCATTAAAACAGTGCTGTTGAGATGATCCCAATCATACCTGTCTTTGTAGAAAAACCCCAGGCAGACAGATATTTGACTCTCCTTTATTCCCCTGCCTTCATCTCAAACAGGCTGAAGGCTTCTCCTCTGTTCTGAACCTCAGGGAATGAAGCTCGGCTCCTCACACTTCATCCTTTTTGGAATTAAAATGACGAGATGCCTGCAAAGTCTTACGAAGTTTTGAGCAGGTCGTAAACGTAGATAAGGAAGTCGTCATCAAACTTGATGAAGTAGACGGAGGGCTTGGCCTCCACCTGGTGGATTACCATGCCGGTCCGCTTGCCTCCGTCCTCCCTGGCGTACTCCACCTGTTTCCCCACCAGGCTCTCCTCCACCTCCCCAGGCTCCTGCTCCGAGGGGGCGCTGTCGTCTGCAGGCCCACACACACATTATTCATATTAACACCATCTCGCATGCTTCTCACTCTCCATGTGAAACTGGACAGATTAAAGCTTGCTGACTGAATTGATATTTCTATGCCATCTTACTTCTAAACTAAAACTAAAATGTAATGTATTCATCGGGATGTTAAGAGCATTCCATGGAATATAACAAAAAGTGTTTCTGAAATAAATTACATACCCCACCTTTAAGTAAAACATTGTCATATTTGTACTTTATTTTTTTCTTATTACTCACTACATTGATTTTACAGATTAAGTTACTTGTTCATTTGCAGATTTAAATTATCAATACAAAAAGTAAATCAACTAATACATAATAAATCATATATCATAATTAGTTAAGCTGCCCAGAAGTATATAAAGTAATTCAAAGGGTTAGGTTTAGGGTTAATGCGTCAATAATTATAACACAATCATTTAAAACATATGGATCTTTAATGGGCTTTTGTGAATATTTACATATATACCTTTACTTTTGGTACTTTAAGTATATTTTGAATCACACTTTTGTACTTTAGTTAAGTAACATTTTAAATGCATTACTTCTGCTTGTAGCAGAGTACTTTTACACTGTAGTATTACTACTTTTACTTAAGTAAATTATCTGAGTATTTCTTCCAACTCTGTGGAATATTCATTCGGATATTATCCAAATGCTCAGGACAGGTGAAGGGCCCTCCTCTCTAAATCTCAACCTCAAACTGTGTAGAAGCAGCTTAGTGAACTCACTGGACACAGGCATGATGCGGAGGTCTCCCTCTTTGTAGTCCTCCAGCAGCTGGTACATGTAGAGGACTGGGTCCTTCTCGTAGGTGATGTAGAACCAGGTGGTTATGATGGGGGCCCGGGCGAGCACCATCCCCCTCCACTCCTCCTTTGGACCCTCCTCGGTCTCGAACATGTGCTCCACAGCTCTCCCAATCATGGTGTCCGCCAGGCTGCCGTCTGAGGCACGGGGCTTAGCTGCTGGGAGAACGGGAGCCGCTGTGACAAACTTCTGCACTTTTCCTTTAGTCGCCTCACTGCTGACTAAGTTGGCAAAGTGAATAAAGCCCCCCCCCCCCAACCAAGAAGGACTTGAAAACAAATTGACTGGATATGACCTGTCCGGCTCAGCTTGTCATTAAGCTTCACACTTTCATCATGCTAAGCTGGATGCCAATAAGTATATCCATAAGCAGGGGGCAATTATTGCTATATGTGTTAGCATCAATAATAAGCTAAATGTTCTGCGCCAGTTCCACTTATTTTCGGCGAGCTGTGTCAACCAATGAGGGGCCTCCAGGAAAATCCAGACATATTACACACAGACAAAGACTACAGGCAGGACTTTCCATTAGACATGTGAGAGTAAAAGGGGTATGGATAATAAACTGTTTACCGGCAACAAGAAGTGAAAAGACTGATTACAGCTAAACTAGCACACTAACTGAGCAGCTTGGGGTCTTACCCTGTCTGTCGGGGAGCACCTCCAGGCCCTGAACCCTCTCGTCTTTATGGAGCTCCAGACCATAAACACAGTCGAAACCATCGTACTTTATCAGGAAGAGAGACGGGTTCACTGGCACCTGATGGACATACATTCAAATAATTAGTTCCTTGTCCCTGAGCTTCTTTCCACACAGCTTATAGATCCTTTAGGTTGGTGTCTTTGCGTCAGTAGTGATAAACACTTTTAAGGGTTTGGAAGCAGGTAGTCATTTTAAAGCTTCCATTACCAAATAAAGCTTTGAATGTCATATTGATCGTCATATTTTATGACGTCATCACCCTACATTACATTTATCTTTATCAATAAATGTGGACTTGCATCTCACACCTTATTTCCCTATACTGTGTTCATGTGTGCACCAAAGCAGCTTCCATGCATAGCCGTGGGAACCAGTGGCCGGTCCCTGTTTTTTTTTTTTTTTAAACAGGTTTGAAACGTCCATCCCCCATTCTATTGTGTATTCCTTGGATACTCTATAGCAGGGGTGGGGAACCTCCGGCCGCCGGGCCGTATACGGCCCACGAGACCATTCGCTACGGCCCTCGAGGTAATTTATAAACACACGCAAAAAAGAAAAAAATTACAAGAAAACTAGACCGCAAAAAAATTAAACAGGCGAATGCCTGTTTTTCCTGGCCAAGGTCAGGGTCCTTGAACACAACACGAGCCTAACGTGTCATCACGTGGTATATGTCTCGTCTGACAGGGGAGCATGGCAGGGGAGCACCAGAAC